ATTTTGCTGCAAACGGAAATGAAAATGTATTACTAATACAAAGGGAATCACAAACATAAGATTCATCTTGTTGCATTGAGATCACAAATAAGATTAACGCTACCGGACCTCACCAAACGGTGTTCATTCTCTCGTATCCTTCTGTCAACCCTATCATTTGATTATACGTATATGCGTCACTGGTATTTAACTTTTTCAAGAACTATTTTTTTATTTATGTGTATACTGAAGATGAACTTGTAAGTTGAAAAACGTGTTTCCTGGCCTTGTGTCCTTGATACATACGTGTGATAATCATGCTAATAATTAAACTATTAAATCCATTGAGAAAAACATTGAACATCCATTTGTTTTACTGCATTATATTTTCGTGCAATTGGAAATGACGAAATAGTTGCTTTCTACACATTTGGAAAATCTGTGTCGAAACTATTTATTTCTATCAATATTAAACATTATTCTAGCCTCTGTGATTTACGATTTATAAAAACCCTTGAAATATGGTCCCACTATTTGTACATTTTGTGATTGCTGTCGTATGGACCCATTTCTGTGTCAATTTCAAAAGTATACACACACTGTTGTTAAGGAGAGTGAATATAAGATCGAGGCAAGAATGATGAGGAAAACAAAAAAAAAAAAAAAAAACAACCGGGCAAGCTGAGGTCAAGATGAAAACTATATATGATCGCAGTAAACGACTATTGTCATTTGTCACATTAATGGCTTTAAATGCCATTTTATGAGGAAATAATCAAAATTTGAACCTGCAACACTTAACCAGTGTAGCAAACAACGTCCGTATTCGCGTTAGCCTCGAGATTTCCTGATAATGAAGTGCTGAAAGTGGCAAGGGGCAGGGGCCAGTTTGTATGTACAAATTTATTGCCGCAATCAGTGACCTAGTACAAAAAAAATCATAAAAAATCAAATGCACAAGTGAGGTCAAGAATGTCCATATTTTTAGATACCTACATTAAAACAAAGCATAAAAATATTATCCACTTGACAAGAGAAGTCAGAGGCAGTTGATAGCAGAAGAAGTTTATGCACCCCAACCCCAAATTTATACCTGCAATTTTCATGTCCGAAGGTCATTTTTGACACCATGTGGTACTCACAGTGCAAACACAAGCTCTTTTCCTAGATTACAATTCTGCCAAACAGTGTGTACTAAACAGGCTGATGCAGTTGAAAATAGTTGTCATCCAAGCCGTTTTTGAGATATGCTCATTGTCCCAAACCCACATGTTTACTGTTACGAGATGCTAGCTCTTCTTCGTAGACAACTATTGGTATTTCACTATCAGCATATGGCAGAGTAACTATGGAAGGTGTACATGCCTGACATCAATTTCAAGAACAACACAAGCACGAAACATCTAGCTCACAAATATATCCATATATTTAATTAGTAGACAATAATTGCTGAAAAAGTCACACCATAGCCTTAAGTTAAGAAATTTGCCAGGGGCCAAATTACAAAACTGCACCCTGCCTCCTTATGAATTTGGGTCAAAATGGTTTATGTCACAAGTTGTGTATATATCACATATTTAGACATTATCTAGTACAATAGTATAAAGGAAAACCTTTTGTGCGCAAAATTAAAAATGGTATTACGCTTTTAGGAAAGTGACTACTTTGCGACAAAAAGCATTGCTTTATTTACATTGTGAGTTATGACTGACTGCATTTCTTGAAAGATTTCAAATTGTTTACAAACTTGAATGCTTTTCTCTTTGTTTAACACCATAGAATTAGGACAGAATCAAAAATTCTTTTACAATCTTTGATGAATGTCAAGAAGAGGTTTGGAAGTTATAAATGTTAGGAGTAAATTACAGAAATGCAATGTTACTTGTCAGTGACAGAAGTGAAAATTTTCTATAAACCCTTCTAGCTAACATAAAGAAATCACACATTTAAGTAAATAATGTGCTTTGGAAGTACTTTTAGACTGATATAAAACAAGCAGTTCCTAACCTTTCATTATTATTCTGGAGATCCTAATAGGAGCATCAATGTTGTATGAGTGTGTGTTGGGGGAGGGGGTAATCACAACAACAGTCTAGCTAATTTGGAAAGATCAAAGTTTAATCAATCAACATTAGACCATGCTAGAATATTAACATACAGATGTGTGGACCCAGTTAAACTTACAAAGGGACATACCAAATAACTTCATTGATACATAGCCACTGAAATTGACCATACATATACAATTTATCAATACAAGTTAACAGTAATCTCTTCTCAGACACCAATTCACTTACAAATGACTTTAATGATTTCTGGAGTTTACAAAATCATAGTAAATAATAAGAGAAGGTATAGAACAAATATTTACAGTGGAAAATTCAGTTCAAGGTAAAATGTATTTCACTTGCTTGGCTTTTAATAAGCACATACCATAAAGCAACTCCTGATGAAGTTAAATTTATCCGTCAAAGTCTCTCTCTTGTGCACACAGATCAGAATGAGGATCTGGATGAGATTCAAGCTTTTGTTTCTTTCAGCATAACTAACCGATTAATCCTAATCTTCTACCACGCAAACTGAGACCTGCAAAAAGAAAAGAATCAAGTGATATTGATGTACTTTAAACATTCAATGAAAACTATAAGAATTTCAGAGGAGAAACTGTATGTGTATTGTCCAAGGCATGAAACTGCCACTTAATTTTAAGCTTTTCCCCTTTGTTAACTGGACCTAGAAATTTCAAGATGTATATATAACACTGAAACATTTTCTATTATCACCCAAGTGTGAGATATGAACCTCATATCAACTTCACAGTGGGCTCATGAAGGTTGATACTATGTCGGAGTGCTAAAACTTTCATTCTTCTCACTAAAATATAGCAAGCAATATGCCATATGCATCATTATTCATAACACCATTCCACTGGTAACATTCAACATTCACAAGAGTATGCTTATGCATGATTTCTCCAAAGTCTAGCTGCTCCTGTGGAGTTAAATTACTTTAAAGAATGCATGTTGACATGCTAAGCAATTGTTTCTGTGTGTCTTTATTGAAATGTGAATAATATTCCTACAAATAGGTGTGCAAACCTTGACAACTACATAAAATGCAAGACAATACATTGTGGTCACCATTTTGGTTCCATATTGAGTAAGTTAAGTCCAAAATATACTACTTTATCATGATGTAAATAGTTCTCACATTGAGGTATAAAACACAGTTACCTCCCTCGCCAAAGAGCATTACATATAATACTACATGAAATATGGAAAAAGGAAGGAAATATAATGAAGCCAATGCGCAAAATTATTTAAATATACACAAAGAAACAGAATATTATGATAGACATGGCTGACTGCACCATAAAAAAATTATCATTGTTGCTTAAGGGGGCAGGGGCCAGTTTTTATATACAAATTTATTGCCGCAATCAGTGACCGAGTACAAAAAATCATAAAAAATCAAATAAACAAGTGAGGTCAAGAATGTCCATAATTTTAGATACCTACATTAAAACAAAGCATAAAAATATTATACACTTGACCAGAGAAGTCAGTGACAGTTCATAGCAGAAGAAGTTTATTCACCACAACCCCAAATTTATACCTGCAATTTTCATGTCCGAAGATCATTTTTGACACCATGTGGTACACAGAGTGCAAACACAAGCCCTTTTCCTAGATTACAATTCTGCCAAACAGTGTGTACTAAACAGGCTGATGCAGTTGAAAATAGTTGTCATCCAAGCCGTTTTTGAGAGATGCTCATTGTCCCAAACCCACATGTTTACTGTTACGAGATGCTAGCTCTTCTTCGTAGACAACTATTGGTATTTCACTATCAACATATTGCAGAGTAACTATGGAAGGTGTACATGCCTGACATCAATTTCAAGAACAACGCAAGACCGAAACACCTAGCTCACAAATATATCCATATATTTAATTAGTAGACAATAATTGCTGAAAAAGTCACACCATAGCCTTAAGTTAAGAAATTTGCCAGGGGCCAAATTACGAAATTGTACCCTGCCTCCTAAGCATTAGCACGTTGAAAGTTTCGATTCCTATCTACATCCGGGAGAGTCTGATTTTGAAGGAGGCTTGATATTTAACCGAAAATGCTTGAAATATACATGTAAAGTGCTTACGGAAAGATGTTTTCAATACGAATCGAATTATGCTGGCAATACTATTGTTCAATGCAAGTCGAATAGCACGATGTTGTTCACACGTGAAAATAGACACTCTTCTTCGTCCAAACAAGAATCCATGTTTATTCAGTTTTTATAATATGAGTAATAAAATGGAAAATGTTTGGATTGTTGGTGTTTCGATTTGTTCTCTGGTTTGAATGTAGATCGGCATTAAATTTTAAACTTATTTCATATTTATCACAAAATGAAAACTAACTATACTGTATTTTAGGAATATTTTCCGTCACGCAGTGTTTATCGATTCGGTTTAAATTACAGTAATATTTATTGCTGTGGTTGTTTTTAAAGATTTGATGATTTGGTGTAAGTTCGATGCATATTATATTTTTATGTTTTTTTTTGTGGTTTCGGTTGGAGAATACTTGAAGAATTTTCACTCCTATCACCGTTTCGTAACAATGAATGGGTACGATTTACTTTGGAAGTTAAGTTTCAGTTCGAGGACGAGAATGACAGCTTTATTGTTTGTTTACTTCAATGGCGCCTTACTTTACAGACGACTTAAAACATATGATGCATGCATGGAACATTTTTGTTAAAATAACGTCCAATGTGTAAGAATGGTTACTGTAGGAAGTAGTTGTTAAAAGCCATCAATAATGGTATTCTTCAACGGAATGATTGATAAGTTGCACGTTTAAGCATATATTCCAAGAAACTATTGTATTATCCTCAAGTGTTATATTACCAGAGGCAGAACATAGATTAAATATTGAATTGAAATACTTGTTGCTTATAATGCATATAACTTTATCTAATGATATTAATTTAATGGCATAGCTGATAAAACTACAAAGGATTTCATAGCTCAGAAAGTAGGACCGCCAGTCTCACAAACTGGAGGTCAAGAGTTCGATTCCCTCTAAAACCAGTAGTTTTTATTTCTTTCAGCGACCAATTTTTGCCCATTTATTTGGCTCTTTAAGGGTTAGAAATACCTTGGGTATAGGCTGATGTATCGAACCGAAACGAATAACTCAAATTCAGTTATTTATAAAGACCTATAGGTTTATACCAGAATTTTGTTTTCATTTTGTAAAACATTATAGAAAGTGTCAGTAGCCGAATCAGACACTAACAAAGTTCGTTACAAGCTTTGTGATTCAAGAACTAACAATCTATACCACGTAAGCGCAGAAAAGGCCTCTTTAACTGTTTTTATTGGAGTGCAAATTTACTTTGACTTGTATATTGTTTTTTCATCTCGTTCCTTGTCTGACTTTCAAAACCATGCCAAGCAAAAGTATTTTCTAATATCTAAATCATCTATTTTAACCAGCCAAGAATTAGTACAATCCTTATAACACAATTATGATTTCTTGAATGAACTATCATTACAACGGTAACAATGTTTATATGAGCAACATGGAAACAGAAAGTGATATTCTTTACATAAGCTCATGATTAGTATTTCTTGGTATAGTTTCTTCGGGACATTTTATTCTCATTTTATATTTTTGGGACTGTGAATAAGGCATCAAAGTAACCATATGTAAAAATATTTTAGGTCACCTATATGTAAGACTTCTGTATGTAGGTGCTTTCTGGAAATTTTAGCTAAGACAAATATATTATTCGTAGGGGATTATCAGTAAAAATCACAAAAACACGATGTAAATAATTACCGAAAATAAACATCATGAACCGAACCAACATAAAACAAACTGAAACTGGGACTAAGTGGTACTAATAGGGTTGGATGTTTAACAAAAATACATTATGCCTAATGAAAGGATACCGAAATTAATGCCGTATTTGGGTCATCTCAAAGAGTTAAGAGTTTAATGGTATTTGTTCTGAATTTATCGTGATACAAACTGTCAGTTGCCGTATCATACAGCAAATAACTCCCGCATGGCTTGATGTAATCTGTGTTACTCGGCAATTGACAGTTTATACCACGATAAACTCAGAACAAACAACGTTTCACTCTTATAATTGCAATTCTTTATAATTTTATTTATTTATATTGTCCTTTGTTTAAAGGTATATTGTTATGTATATATAATTTAATTATTTACTTGCCATTTTTAATTTTGTTTTAATTTTTATTTTATTTCATTGCATGTTATTGTAATGTTTTGTTTACTAGATTTGAATATTTTGCTTATTTTGATTGAGGACCGATAAAGCAGTTCTATGTAAACAACTATTGTTTATTTTTATTTTACCAGGGTATTAAGCATTTAGTGAAATAAAGACAGACCTGGAGGACATGACAAAAGATATTTGTTTATTGCTACAGGTGTTTGGTTTTCCATATGGGATTAAATTTTGACCCCGATTCGTAAATCTTTTCTGCGTATCAGATACTCTTATAACACAATGTTAAAAGAATAAATAGTTGTGTTTTTAACCTTTGAAATTCAAACTTGTTTTGTTGTGACCAGTTTTAATGTGTCTAAAATTCAGAATCAGCAATTTATTTTCCCTGGAAAATACTAGTGCTCATCAGAATTCTTGGCCAAAAAAAGACATTTATTAAAATTTTTCGGTATTTAAAAACTGAACAATTATTTTTTGTGATTAAACAAGAAACTGTTGACACGTCAGGACAAAGCAGATATTTTAGTGATATAATTTATATTTCTGAATTCTCGGATTAATTTGTGATTAAATTCATAATAAATTCTTATTCTTATTTTTACATTGTTTTATAGGGAAAAAATTATTTGCTAAACTTTTACTAAGCATGTTGGGTTCACTCTTTCCTTTTTACTTTTATACAACTCTAGACACGTTAGAAAGAAAATTGGGGCCTCATCCTAGAGATATCTGAATTTTGGCAAAAATATTTTAGAAATATGTTTGTGCAATTTCAATTTTCCTATTTTTTAAAAATTTGTTTTAAATCACAAGATTCATATTACATTTTGTTTGAAATCATAAATGAAATCAACAGGCTTTTACAATGTCAACAAAGTAAGTGGATATTATCTTTCATCTCCCAATCAGGAGCAGTTGGATTGTTTGAAAACCGATGAATTACTTGAACTTACCAGACATTATGATCTTTCAGATGCAAAATCTTCTTAAAAGAAACAAAAAATAAAAGCAAGTTGATCCAGTACATTGTAGAAAAGAATGTTTTGGATAAAAGTGTTTTGGTTTCGATCAGTTAGTATGTATCAGACTCGGACACAAGTTAAGGAATGAAAATTAAAATGCAAGAATGAAATATAGTTAAGGAAAATTGAACTTCATAAAGAGGAGAAAGAAATGCAGTTTCATTTGGAGAAGGAGAAGAAACTAATGCATTTGGAATTAAAGACAAGACAGGTCCAGTTTCAGATAGGAAAGATACAAATTGTAAGATAAAGGGAAGTACGACAAATGCATTTTCAGAAAGAGAAAGTTTAAAGACAAATGTAACTTGAGAAAGAAAAAGCAGATAGGCTAATGAAAATGCAAAGAGCAAAGACCGAAATGGAATTTCAAATTGGGTTAAAGGAATAAGAGCTAGAAAAATGAAAACACGCTCATACTTTTGGATTTTTAAGAAATATCAAGTTAGTATCCCCTTGTCGGGAAAAAGAAGTTTTGAAAAAGTTGCGGAAACTTTGAAATGGTCAGGGAGCATTGGACTCTGTTATTACAATGTGCACTTACTGGCAAAGTTAGTGATATTTATTTTTCACTGTCACTCGCGCAGAGTTCTAAAGATTATTTGGTTAAAGACTATATCTTGAAGGGTTTTGAGTTAGTCTCTGAGGTTTGTCGGCAAATATTCAAGAACTATTGAAAATAAACCGATTCGACTTATGCAGAATTTGCATGGGAAAAAGCAGCAGAACAATATGATAGGTGGTGCTCTTCTAGAAAGGTTTAAAAAGATTACAAAAGTCTCAGATAGCTCATATTAGTTGAAGAGTTCAAAAGCTGTCCGCAGTGACATAAAACTTAACCTGACGATAAGCTTGATATAAAATCCATGTTTCTTCATATGTGTACCAATTGCAAGAAGAAAGCACACATAATTGCTGATTGCTTTAAATGGAAATATAGACTTTAGAATCAAGACATACCTATTCCAAATGTTCTTATTTCTAAGTGCTCAAGCTCACGGTCATTTATTGAAAGAAATGCATTTGTTGGGTCTAATAAACCACAGTCAGATTTTATTATGGAGTATTATTGACCATTCATGGCAACGGGTTCTATATCACTCTTGGGTGATTTGGCCAATCGTATCCATATTAAAATTCTAAGTGATTCAGGAACGTCTGTTATTTATTATCACGTACTTTGCCTTTTTCTGAGAAATCTTCTTAAAATGAGAGTGTTTGTATTCAGAGAGTAGATTGATGCTTTGTTGATGTTCCTCTCTTTTGCATAAATTTGTCATCAGACTTAGTTTTAAGATCTGTAATGGTCGCAAAAGAATCCTGATATCTCCTATTTCTTTCACAGGGCCATTAGTGAAACTGAACTACTGAAGTACCTGTCTGTTATTTCATTAAAAAAGGAAATCCTTTGAGATAATGCAGACCTTCCGATGTGATGTGTTGTCAGTGAGCTATACAATTAAATTGTAGTTCCGAAATTTTACAGACAGAAAATACTTAGTCTAGCCTATGAAATTCCTTTGGCTGATTATTTTGTGATTAATAATACTTATCATTCGATCTTGAATCACATTTATTGGCCAAAAAATCAAAACATGATGTTTGTAAATACTGTAGATCGTGTCATACTTGTGAAATGGTAGCTAAACCCAATCATAAGATACCTAAGGCTCATCAGCAACCTATTCATGCACTTGACAAATCATTCAGCAGAATTATCGTCGATTGTCTTAGTCTCTTACCTGAGACCAAGTCAACCAACCAATACGTGCTGACCATTATGTGTTTGTCAATAAGATTCCCAGAGGCAAATCCTTTGAGGAATATAATAACTAAAACACAAGTAAAAGCTTTCATAAAAATTTGTGCTCAATTTGGCCTTCCAATCTGTCCAATCTGATCAAGGGTCAAATTTTATGTATGGAATTTTTCAGCAAGTTATGTAAGAATTAAGCATTTAGCAATTTAGATCCTCTTCCTATCACCCTGAGAGCCAAGTTTTCATCAGACTTTGAGTGTGATAAAAACTCAAAGGAAAATATTTTTCAGCCTGGTGAGAGTTGTGGCTCATGTGTATTCCACAAAAAAACTCTTCAGACCAAATATTATGATTCTTACAAGGTTGAAAAAAGGTAAATTATTTAAATTACATCATAAATAAACGTGGAAAGCGAAAACATTAACATCTTTTTCATATTAACATGGTAAATGAGTATATTTAACAAGGTAAATCATAGCATTAATTTAGTTTTACCTGTCCTACTCGGTGAAGATTTTTAAGTGAAAGAATAATATCGGACTCTACTGATTTTGTGTGACAAATCTTCTGAATTTGGAAATTATAAATAGTCTGGTCCAGAAACTTTCACACTTACAAAAACAAGAAATGAATGAACTTGAACAGTTATGCTTTGAATATGATCGCTTATTTCAGGATGTTCATAAGAGAACAAACATAATGTTTCATGACGTTAAAATTGTAAATTCCAAACCTGTGAAACAATATCCATACAGGATGAACGCTCTCAAAAAGGAATACTTGAAAAAAGAAATCCAGTATTTGTTAGAGAATGATTTAATAGAGCACAGTAAAAATGAATGGAGTTCACCCTGTATACTTGTTTACGAAACCGGATAAAACTTTCCTTAGGAAGGTAAACAATGTGACTAAGACAGATTCATTTCCATTAACAAGAATCGATGACAGCATTGATCAAATATAAAATACCAAGTGTGCCACTAAATTTGATCTTCTGAAAAGGATTTTGGCGAATCCCACTAACAGAAAGGACAAATACAATAACGGCATTCGTGCTACCAGATGGACTTTATCAATATAAAGTGATGCCGTTTGGGATAAAGGGTTCGCCAAATACCTGGTCAAGTTAATTGAAATGTTTACATCGATGTTATCATCTACAACGATACCTGGAAGGAATATCTAGCAACAGTTCGGAAATTCTTTGACAGACTCACTGATGCAAGTTGGATAATGAATTGTACAAAGGTGAGTTCTGCCTTGCTTGTGTACAATGTTTAGGACATACCGTGGGACATGGACAAATTAAACGTGTAGATGCTAAGATCAAGGCTATCTCTGAATTTCCCGTTCCTGTCAGTAAAAAACACATGATGCAATTTTTAGGTGTGGAAGGGTGCTATCGGAAATTTTGTTCAAATTTTTCCAACATTTCTGAATTTCTGATAAATTTTGAAGTAGGAAAAACAAGTTTCCTTGGACTGAAAAATGTCAGGAGACTTTTGGTAAGTTAAAGGCCATACTTGAAAGTGCACCAGTTCTTACAGCTCCAAATTTCAGTCAATCATTTTAAACTGTCTCTTGAAGCAAGTAATGTTTAGGTTGGAGCAGTATTGATTTAAGAAGATAGAAATGATGTTGATCATCCAGTTTGCTATTTCGTTAAGAAATTAAATAAGCACCAATGAAATTATTTAACAATCGAGAAGGAATGCTTGGCTTTATTATTTGTATTCTAGCATTTTGAAGATTACATTAGCTCAGCTCCTTCTCCGGTTTTTGTATATAGTGATCTCATCTATCTTACATTAGTCGGCAAGATGAAAAGTAAAAAAAAAGTTATTAAGAGGGAGTTTGTTGTTACAGGAATATCATATTGACATCAAGTGCATCGAAGGAAACAGTTTAATACCAGATGCACTTACCTGTGTAGTGAAATAATTGTTCAAGTATATTTTGCATAAGTCGTAAGAGTTCTATTTTTTTAATATGTTAACATAATATATAATTAATTTATGTGAAAAGGAAAAGTTTATTTTATAAATCATTCATTTCCTTTCATTGGGGAAATGTTATGTAAATGTAATTAAATTCTTGGATTAATGTTGCATTAAATGCATAAACCGTGTGTCCTTTTTCTTACTTTTACTTTGATTTTTCTAGGGAAAATAAATTATTTCTTAAAATTTTACAAAGCTTGTTGACTTCACACTTTTCTTGTTACTTTTATACGAGCCTAGAAATGTCAACGTTTTAGAGGCTGTTTAAGTATATGAGGTGTTGTAGATGTGTATGTTACATAGCTATTTATACAACAGGGAATTCTTCATCTGCATCTGTAATAGCTACGCCAGTATCAAGCAAACCATTCTACCAGTAGTAGGCAATCAAATTTTTTAACATTCCACAGCATGGTCTTAACCTTGTAACTAAATTAGCATATGTAACATGAGTAGATGTTTGATATTCAAAGCAAAGTATGTGCAAGTTTGTTTGATATGCGAATGACTCTTGGATTTGATGCTATCACGAGTTCATTGTGACTTCTGAATTGATATTGTCCAGACATACGAATAAACACATTTTCGCGTCTTAACATTTATTTTCGCGTTTATTAACAGTTTAGGTTACCTACAGGGACTACTTGCAAATGAAATCAAGACTAAATTGTTGCAGTGACGATGCCCCAACACTCAAACAGTGGAAGACATCGACATTGACAGTTAATATGGGGTTATAACAGATTTCCCGCTCACCCCCACATCGTAACTGTCAAGATCGGCATCTTACATTGTTGGACTGTGAATCTAATTGTTATAATATTAGTCTTTGAACCTCCTCGTTCCAACCCCTATATCTATTCACCTTTAGTTTTAAATTCATTTGTAACGAGCTGCAGTGAAGAAACCGAACCACCAACGTTATTGGCAGATTTTGTGTTTCCCAATATTTATTTTCAAATCTAGTCAAGAAAATAAATGTTATTTACACACAGAAAACAGCAAAGATGTGTTATCTGATTCTGTCAAATCAATGTACTCATTTTAAAAAATAAAATATGACTCAGCGGTTTCATTTCATTATAAAGACATGCAGTTTGTATGACGTTCAGTTCAGTGTTTAGGTTTGTTACTTTGCACTTGGCTCTATAGAAGTTAGTATAAAGTAGTTCTCCGTACAAGTTATACAGAAATAAACTCATTTGTTTTTGATCATATGATTATGTTCCGACCAATGGAAATCTTCTCTTCATTTATCAGCTGATGCAACTGCAATTTCTTGATATATAAATGTTTATTTGAACAAATTATACATCTTGCGAACACACACACACACACAAAGACACACATACGCACGCACACACATTACCGCTAATATCAAGGCTATCAATCTTGACTTTAGGATATTTTCTTTCTCAGAGAGGAGTACAAGGTTGAGTCTTAACATATCGAGATGACTTAATCTCTGAGTTCCTTATCAAACAAAGGGAGTTACTCTGACGCTTCCAAGTGCATGAACATATGAAGCGAAAAAGCAGTTATACATTATATTAATTTCGTTACTAATTTGGTACATACAAAGCAAATAAATATTCGGTATTAGTTTTGTAATGATTTAATAATAATTGTAAACATATGGAACACGGGACCCTATCAAACATTAGAAACATACGATTTTGTTTCTAACAATAATGTTATCGAAAATGAAAGTACACAGAACAAAAATCGTGATGAAACTTTAACTGAATTTTCTTAGCTTTGTTCGTTTACCTAAATTGTGCCGTATAAGACAAAGGTGGCAAACATTCAACCCATCCAACCTGCCGAAATTCGTACTCTACATACGCGCTCACGATTGACAATGTACAGGGCATCGCAAAATAATACTGTTGGGGTTAACAGATAATAATTTTGAATTGAACTTTTGACAGCAAGTAAATTCTCTTGAACTAATTAGTAGCAGTTATATATTGGTAGATGTCCTTTACGAAATTAAGAGCTGAACGAGAAGTTTTGACGGGGGGTGGGGGTGGCTAGACCTTAACTAGAAGTATTGTCTGCATAACAACACTGTCCATCAAGGTTTCACTAATTAGAGAATACGTTTTCATTGATCCGAATAACCTAAGTTTATTTGGGACCTCACGTTAGTTAGGTAGTTTGGCTAGGTAATTGTTAATTCTCATTTTAACCGCCACTGGAGTAATCTAGCGGAGATGTAGAAACAGGCTTTTTTACTGTCATAGATATTACAATTTCCTTCAAAAGGACAAATTCAAAATTAGATTGAATAGTCATTTGAAGGATGGTATGAGAAAATCAGTTCAGGTGATTTTTAAAATTATATTCATTACGCACAAAAGTCTTTAAAATATATGTTTAAAAACAAAAACTGAAACATTGAATAATACTTTGATGGTATTAGCACTGGCAGTAGCTGAAAAGTCAGCTATATTTTTTTTACAAGTATATTCTATTCTTAGCATAAATTCATCATTATAACAAAGATGATTAAATGCACTAACATTATTTAAAAACATATTTTGAAAATTACTTTTAGTTTTCATGTGTTTTGAACAGTAGAAACAGGCAATGTAATAAATGTCCTATTTTGTACACGTGTACTGGATATATTGATTACAAAATGCTATATGATATGAGTAAACATAACAAATACCTTTGCCCATTAATTCCTACTTATATCGCGATTTTGGGATGAGAAGACGTTATATCGATTCGCTGTGACACAAATGTATTGATGCTGTCCATAGTTATCGATGCATTGTTACAGTCGTACCTGATAAAAAATTATTATTTTAATGACTATTTTCCTTTATCACATAGCAATACAATTATCCGCAGAAATTTGTACTATTGAGAAATAATTTCAATTACTACCTTGGCTGTATATGTTATAATTTGTTTAACTGGGCACAATAGGTGTTATATCGATAGAAGAAATTTGAAACGGTCATATCATGAAAGCTTTTGCTTGCCAGAGTTCAATATTCAACAACACGTTATAAAAGAAAATAATCTGTTGACTGTCAGTTTTCAGTCCGGCTCATTTGGTTAGAGCGCCAGTCTAGTATATTGGAGGTCTAGGGTTCAAATCCTACTAGACAAGTTTTCTTTACTGTTCTTTCTTTATTTTCAATACACCATAAACCAAAGAAGTTAAAACTCAAATTTCTATGTGAATTGACCCTCCCCCTAAACATAATACTTGTAAAGCTGAGGTGACTCACTAATAATAGTGATCGCAATAGTTTAAACACAGCACGAAGATGACGCGAAGATCCGTGCTTCACTTTAGACCTTGTAATTTTAGTGAAGTTTTAGAAAATAAAACTGTTTGTTCTAGTGATGTTTTATTAAAAATCCATTAGCAATTACCAAAATTAAATGTACGTAATTCACATCTGTTATAAAGTATAGTTTTTGAAATCATTAACTAGTACATTGTGTAATGGTCAAAATGGGTACACGAACATTTTAGGATCCATGGGTTTTGAACAACCATTTTAAAGTTTTGTCTAGGTGTTTCCTTAGCGTATTGTTTTTGCAATACACAAAAAGGTCGTGGCGATATTAGCTCACTCACTAAATATTTCTAAATATGCAAGGATAATTTTGCTTGGTGGCAATATGTAGGTGTGAATGCAACCGCTATACAAATCTTATTAAACAGCAATGCGCCATGTAGAGAAAGTTCCATTATAATGATCATGTTTAGTTTCGAGTATATAACTACTTATCCCACTCCCACCTCTCCTCACCTCGTACCATTATTAAATCTGATAAAGTTCAAGTAATGTTTACGTATTATGCCATGGAATTGTCTTGAGGTTGTTGCCTTGCGTAGGGTCATCCAGACAGGACAAGACACATTTTTCCCCACCTAAATATTGAATCAAGGTTATTGGCACATCTTTATTCATGAAAATAGACATTTTAAATGATAGTTTGAATTGAAACATTGTGCACCAATATTGAAATAGTAGTCTAAATTGAAACATTGTACAAAAATCTTCAAATGGTAGTCTAAATTGAAACATTGTACACCAAATATTCAAGAGACATGAGCAGCAATTATTTTATGTGGCGCTTTAAAAGGCATGCATGTAAGCATTTAAAATAGGTTTGAAAACTTAAGAGAGTCTAAAACACAGAAAATAATAAATGAGAGATGGCACGTCAGATAGATACTAATGAATTATTAAGCATTATTAAGAATTGTCACTATGACATTACGAATTATTTTCTTTATTACGTACGTCGCAATGACATTTGATTCACTATCTTAAATTTCACTCTCTAGAAAATCAGAAAGTCAGGGGGACTGCTTGCACTTCGAGGGAACAATGAGGCAATATTAAACACAAACGGTTAAAAAAAGGAATGAAACACAACTTCTTAAATTTGTCAGGAGTATTAAGGCGTGTAATACAATTATTATACCAGCATACCAGATATCATACTCGGCGCAGTAGGTTACTTCACTTTAGAAGGATAATACCATTGCTATAATAATGTAATTATAGTGGCAAATTGTACAATTTCATAGTTTTATTACACTCAATTTTTACAATGGATATGGTCAAGAATGTGATGATTTTACCAGAATGTTTGAGAAGAATGCCATGAATTGTTTACATGAAGAAACGGAGCTCAGACTAACGACGGTGCAAGGTAGTCTGGTTGTTTATACCCATCTTTATAGGACTTCAATCAGTGATCATAAATTAAGAGTATCAATTTTGAGAAGCATGAGAAGACCAGTGTAAATTAGCCTACTGTTATGTATATCTATACTTTTTTGTAATTCATGGTACAAGTTTATGATGTAAGATTTGTAAGTTTTATTCACGGCTGAAAAATATACAGATTATCTATAGTTTGATTTTTCCCACGTGATACAGTCTAGTATAGAAGGTAAAATTATGTATGTGTTGACATGTGCTAATAATGGTCTTAATGACGACTTCGGATTCATATCTCATTGGCTGAAAAAATATTTAAAAAATAATTTCCCATTGGTTGGGTTAAGTCACATGAATAGGCAATATTCGCAATTTATTACTTAGCATGATATATAACCTGGGCTTAAATTGTCATAATAGAATGTGTATATAAGGAAGAAAAAAAAACGATCAGTCCAATTTGTTCCTATGTTTGGGTCATTATTATTTATTGTGTTCCTGTTATACTTCTGACGTTATCTTGTACTTAGATATTATTCAAAAGAAAAATCGTTTGTTTGGATTATTCAGTTTAGGTGAAATGATCTCATTTATTAGACAATAATATTATTCTGTAACTGTTGCGATTTATTGAATTATTATTATTAGAAATTTATAATCTTAATGTGAATATTTAAACTCGATTTTAGTTTGCTTGAGGAAAATGATTATTTCTTCAAAGATGAAGAAACTTTCTTTTTCTATATTTTTATGGGTTACGTCTGTGGCATTTAGAATGAAAACTAAACTAATTTAGCTAACTGACATAACATTAAATAGTGAGTATACTTGTGATGGATATTTAATTGCACAATATTCAAATTAATATTCCAGGATGAAAATGATGTTATAATGATCATAGTACAAGATTAACCTAATCTCCTAGCATATCGGATGCTTCTCTTGAATTGGTTAATATACATGTACTAATATAACAAATACTTCAAATCAGCAATGCATGATCTGTTTTGAAACACAATTCACAACAATTCTAGCCGTCAACTGTAACGTTATCAATCGTTATTACAATTTCATAGACAAAGCCGACAATAAGGATCATAAGGGCAATCAAGAGCACGCAGGTAGAAGACTAATGTGGTGTTAAGTGTAAATTATCTGCCTGCTTTCAGTTTGAAGAAAGCTGTGCTTGAAGTCCAAGTTGTTACTGTTGCATTTTGTCTCATATACTGTATTTTTTTTACAAATTATTATTAATTCGTTTTAAGGCGTATGAACATATACCAAACCTTCCATACAGTGGAAATCCCTCAAGTCTTAAAACTAACTTTTTAATATTTTTTTTGGTTTAATAATGGCGCTGAATACATAAAAAATATGTAGTTTATGTTCTAGGTAGATCTACATTCAAAATGGCACTGAGAGCAGTCTTACATTTTGTAAGACCCCAAAACCCCATTTGTTTCTTTAAACGAAAATAACGTTAATAATTTTCATGTGATCAAAGAGAGAAAAAAAAATGATTTTGTGTGCACGAGTATATGTTAAATATTATATGCATTAATGTGACCAGAGGAAGAATTATGAGAGAATATGCGTATATTTGCTTGTTATGATTTCATACTAGTAAAAATATGCTCGCTGGAGACTTAACTGAATAGGGCATATTTCATCAAAATAGTGTTTTGACGTTCTCCGTCAGAAAGGTATCACTATCGATTTCATATGTCTGACTACTTAAACAAGGGTATTAAATTTTAATAAACTTTATGTGGATCATTTACATAGAAAAATAGCAACCTACGCATAAAATAATAAGCGAAATATATTGGTTTTATCAATCTATCAATAAACATTTTGTTATTAACAATTTATCTTAAAAGGTCTCCTATCTTTATGGTTCAAAGACCTCAATTTAGCAAATTGTGCAAATTTTGGTCTTGGGGGATTTTTATATACAGAGGGTTCTGTTTTAGTAGATGCACCGTATTCCCTAGCAGAATTTTCCTGACTCTCTTACATGAAGAAAGGAATATGTTTCACGTGCATCTAGTCAGGTAGCATATGAAGTCCTGTGAGAAGCTTTTGACTAAAGCATGTCCCTAGCTAGATGTCACAAACTGTCATTAGCAAACCTTTTTCCTGTCTGGAAATTTGCTACTGCTGTAAATTATTTTAAATAAAATTTTAAAAATAGTTCTACAACCATTTTGAACAATATATAAACATTGTTATAAGTGTTAAAGAGGACCACTAATACACTTGTTACGAGTCTATGCTCTTAAAATAAGTTACAGAAAAGAGTAAAAAGACTACCAGTTTTGCAAAATTATCAAAGTGAAAAAATACCTTAACGTTATTGCAAAGTTAATCCCAAAATAATATTGGACTTACAGACGCAGATTCCAATAATTTAAAGTTTTAAATAAACCTTAGCATAAATCCAAATTAAGTTAAACGCTAGAAATGTTTATTTTGATATGGCTGCCTGTCTTGTACTTTTATACCAATACTATGTTGTTGAAAAGCACAGTAATAAAACTCCATGTTTGAAGTTATTTTTATTTGCAGTAAAGATCTCTCTCCAAGAATATTATTTTTATGAGCTCTCTATATGTCCAGAGAAAATAATAAATGAAATAAATAATTTCAATAAATAAATTGCCGCCCAAATGACAACTGAACACAACACTATTATAAATTGATTCTGCTAGATCTAAGCATTAAATGAATATTTTTTATAGCAGCATGAATATATAGTCTTCTATATGACCTAGGGTCAAATTAAACATTTTATAAACCAAAATCACATTACCTAACAGAAATAAACCTTCTTGAATGTTCTTAATGTTTTTAAAAAATGTTAGCCATATGTAGCAGTCGGTTACTAAAAGCCTAATACATAACTTGTACAATGTCAGGAACACCAGGTAAATCGTAGTGTAATCCTAATAACTTAGCCATACACTAGATAATATTTTAGCTACATATCAGTTGTTTATTGGTTACAATAGAAAAATCAATAATTCAGGCATATTAGAAAAAAAATTGATTTTGGGTCAGTTTAAGTGATGGTTCCGGTTAAATTTATTTATTACATATTTTTGCACTTTTTAATCTTTCTGTTTTGGAATAAACTGGATTTATATTTTTTATTCTTTCTGCTTTGGAGTAAACTCGGGGTATATTTTTGTGGCTTTGGGTGGAGAATGCTTAATATGTTTTTTCCTCTTTAGTGCATTCAGTGGATCTTTAATTTTCATATTTGCAGGTTTCACGCACTGGGAGAAAATAACATCGTCATTAATCGTTAGTTCATACAAATAAAGAAAAAGAAATAAAAGAAAATATTTGATATTTAATTTATGCATGGATAAAAGAGATTCATGCCGATTAAACAATATTACCATTTAAATAGCTTTCAA